GAAATAGGGGTAGTATGTAAGCCATTTTCACCTACCTTCTGGCTATGCACATGCAAAGGAACAACTCCTGAAGTTAGCCCTGATGTGAAATTCCTGTTCAAGTGCTTGCCTTCCCCTTGAGTTTGTTTTGTTTTGTTTTTTAGTTTTTTTCTGGTACTGGGAATTGAACTCACGTCCTTGTACTTGCCAGGCAGGCGCTGTGCCGCTGAGCTAAATCCCCAGCCCCCTTCCCTTGAGTTTGAATAGCTATTACCTGCGAGAATGATTCAGTGCAGTCACTGACACTGCCTTTTGCCTTGCAGCTGTCCTCACTGTTCTCATGATGATCAAGTTCTCACCACATCAAGCCAGCTAACGGATTCCTGATTTTAGAAGACACAAATCTCTACATCCATCACGTACTTGACACTTGGCCAAATCTCATCCACATAAAGTGAAATTTACCTTTGCTTTCCAAATATGTTTTCTATTTTCCCTCTCTCTCCTGAAGCTGTGATTCACAGGCTATACCATATCTCTCATACATGTTCCTGATTTCCTTTTCTTCTTAGACTTTTCTATCTCTGTTCAGAGGTCAAGGGTATAACTCAGTAGTAGAAAATGTGCCAAATATGTACAAGGTTCAAGCCTGGATCCACTCTCCAGCACCAAATTTAAATAAAGTAACTTAATATCAAGATCCCTGGAAAGTCAAACATGGTGGCTCACACCTGTAATTCCAGCACTAGGTAGGCTGAGGCAGGAGGATCACTGCAAGCCTGAGACCAGTTTGGACTACACTAGTGAGTTCAAAGGCAACCTGAACGGCCTATTGAGACCCTGTTTCAAAAAGAAAATAGCATATAGACAGCATAACAGCCTTCAAGGCATGTTTACATCCCAATTCCTGAAACATGTGAATCTGTTGTTCTACACAGCAAAAGGAACTGGTACGGTAAAGTAAAGGATCTTAAGTTTGGGGGATTTTCCTGGAGCATACATATGGGCCCCATGCAATCACAAAAGACTTTGGAAGTGGAAGAGGGAAGCAGGAGAGTCAGAGGAGGAGACGATGTGACAATGGAAGAAGAACTTGGAGTGATGAACTTTGAAGGTGGTGGGAGAAGGGAAAGAGGTGATCCCAGAAGTTGGAAACCCAAGGAAACAATTTCTCCCCAAAGGTCTTCTGAAGGAACCTGACTTCAGCCACATCTGACTTCTGACCTCCAGAAGTGCAACATGAATAAATGCTATTTCAGTCCAATAATTTTATGATGCCCTGTCTACTTATAAGTGCTTGTAGTTTTTATAGAACTCTCAGCACACTATGTAGAAAGCAAGATCAGTTAACACTAATGTGAAAACAGCAAAAGATTGAATGTCATGCTGAGGAGAAAAGGTTAAACTCTCATGAGGAAATTCTTGCACCTTTTATTTTGAAGGGTTTTTTTTTTTCCAAAGTGGATAATTTTCAAATAAAGAAAAGAGGTTATATTGTTACACAAAGTCATTTTCTATTCCTTAAGGAAAATGGTTTTGCAGAACAAAATTACAGTGTTTGTAGCATTTGTTGTTACTGGTACTATTTTCCATGAGGAAAGTTCTTTTCCTCTGTGCTCTTATGTCCAGTGTCTGGAGGCTTGCAAATAAAACTAACAGAATACAGTTAACAAGAGAAAAGGAGCGGCTGGGGATTTAGCTCAGTGGCACAGTGCCTGCCTGGCAAGCACAAGGTCATGAGTTCGATTCCTGGTACAGGAAAAAAAACAAAACCAAAATGATTTTCCAAAGAGAGAAGGAGCATGATATTTATTGAAATTTGTGTGCATAAAGTTCACAAAAAAAGGAAAACTCAACTAGACATGGGGTTTATTGTTCTTTTACCAGTGGAAACAGAGTTTGGGTTTCATGGGATAATGAACTGTGGGAAAATGACCAAAAATATTAGGGAAAAACTAATGGGAGACAAAAGCTATTTAGTAAGGTCTGTTCGTACAAACTCATCTTAGTGTGAGCTCCCTGTCTTTGATGATAAGTGTTAATCTTCTCTTCAATTCAGGGAAGGGAAGGGCAACTTCCTCAAAGGGAAATCAAATGTCCTCCTTCAAGGCACGTTACTGTTAAGTGGGCCAAAAATAGCCCAACGCTCACCTGGTAGTAGTAGGAAGTAGCTACATTTATCGAGAATCATGGGACGGTAGCAGGAACAGAGTAGGGCAAAGGAGAAAACAGGGTGATGAGGGAGAAAAGGCTGAGTAACTCTGGCTCCCAGTATTTATAGGGTCAGACACCCCCGACCCAAAGTGCCTCTCACTGTCTCTGACTGATGTCAGCAATCTGCGCAACCTCCTAAGTTTAAACCAGGATGATTGTTATGATAGTGTTTCGTTTATGGTTGAATGGAGAGAAGGGGAGTGGCTTACACAACTTCCCCGCTTTAGAATTATGGAAACATGGGTAATCCTTAGGGTGGTGTGGCATTGACAGCTGAACAAAGAGAAAGGAGTGACTCAGCTCCTTTGTGTCTAACTGTACTGCAGGGATAATAGAGGCCAGAACACTCTTCAGGTATCTGTGGATTTTCAGTTGCGTTCAGCTTAAATTGATCCAAGTACCCTGTTCTGACTCCCTTCACTGTCTAGCCAGCCAGAGAGAGGCCTTATTATGATTGAGAAATAGGCCTGTCTACTGTCTCTTATTTCAACCCCTCTCAGCAGCCACTCATAGCATAACTCTGGCCTCAAGAGAAAGAAATAATTGGGGCCTTGCAATCACTGAGGCGCATTGTGAATGAACTTAACCAAGCGTCTCCGGAGCCAAGGTTGCTGATGAGAGCAGGACTGGTTCCAGATCCAGCAGTCGGCCTACACTGCTGACTGTCTCACTGCTTTACTGAATGGAACTGAGCTTGGAAATTGCTATTTAAAGCTGCATGGAGGCTCAGTGGTGCAGGTAGTAAAAGAATTTCACCAAGATCAGAATAAGAAAAGACACGAGGTGCGGTAGGCAGTGCAGGCCTGTCATCCCAGCACTCAGAGAGCTTGTGGCAGGAAGATCATAAATGTGAATCCAACCTGGGCAGTTCAGCAGCTTAATAAGATCCCACCCCAAAGTAAAAATTTTCAAAACAGCTGGAAAATTGCCTCAGCACAGAAGCCCTAGGTTCAATTCCCTGTACTACAGGAAAGAAGCAGAACAGAGAAAGGAAGAGGAATGGTAAGACTTTATTGAGATTAGCGTACACTGTCAGGGACAGTGGTCAAGAGAGGAATCCTGGTGTCACCGTGAGACTGGGGGTCTCCTCAAGATTTGAGGGCATGAAAAAGGGACTGGATAGCAAATATAGGCACCAGAGATGCTTTGTCCGGGTCACCTGGGTCCTGCTGACCTTCTGACCTTTAAGGAGCATCTGCATTATAGTCAAACTAGAAAAAATGGCTATAATCGAGAAATTAACATCAAATGCTAGAGGGGCTGTGGGGAAAAGGGAGCCCTTCTCCACTGTTGGTGGGAGTACAGACTGGTGCAACTACTGTGGAGATCACTGTAGAGATTCCTCAAAACAACTAGATTAGAGGTCCCATTCAACCCTGTTATTCCCCTTCTGGGTATCTTCCCAGAAGAATTGAAAGCATCATACCACAGCAACATATGTGCACCCATGTTTATAGAAGCACAACTTGATACAGCTAAATCTTGGAAACAACTCAAATGCTCAACAACTGAAGAATGGATAAAAAAGGTGTGGTCTTTTAATACAATGGAGTACTACTCAGCCAAAAAGAAAGATAGACTTGAGACTTTTATAGGTAAATAGATACAACTAGAGACCATACTTGTAAGTAAAATAAATCAGACTTCCATGTATAAACATCATATTGTCTCCTGGGTGTGAGAAACCAAAAGAATAACTAAGGTCCAAAATGTACACTAGATATTGTGAAATGCGAAGAAACTGTTCAAAAGAAAAGAAAGCCAGGCATGGTGGTGCACACCTGTAACCCCCAGCACTCAGGAGGCTGAGGCAGGAGGATTGTTGCAAGTTAGAGACCAGCCTGGGCTACAAAGTGAGCTCAAGGCCAGCCTGAACTGCATAGTGAGACCCTGCTTAAAAAGACCAAA